GTAGACTGTAGACTGTAGACTGTAGACTGTAGACTGTAGACTGTAGACTGTAGACTGTAGACTGCAGACTGTAGACTGTAAACTTGGAAATTAATTTATTCTAAATGTATCTGGTATCGGTATCGGTTTCTCCAGGTTTCACTATACAGTTGTAATATGGGGGATCTTAAAAACTAGAGATTGAATATTCGTTTTTTATAAATATGCAAATATGTTCCCCATACTTTTATTGTTTTGTTGAAGTGGACTACTGTCGTTATAATTACTAAATGACCTTTAAATGAAAGAATTCCGTGCATTATAATCTTTATCTGATCAAAAATGTAAAGATATCGTCGTTTTTAAATCTGAATAAGTGTTAATTCTGACAATTTACTGAACTTTTCTGGAACAGAAATGCGCAAGTCAATTTTAAGAAAAACCACCAATTAAAAAAATTAAAAATTTCAGAAAGAAAATCATAAATCGTTCATGCATCTGCAGTGTAGTCTATCTAGATCAAACAAAGATTTTAAAAGTACTTTGTGTAACAATTATGTCTACATTCCCGTTTAAAGGGACTGTAAAGGATAAATGAAAGGGGGTATAGGATGAAACCTGAGAATCTCAGGCGTTGAACGATACATATATCTGATGTTTCTGTCTCGAGAAATTGATATAAAACTGCGTCAAATTTGACAAAAATTCATATATATGCAATTTTGTTTAAAAGTTTTATTTTGCATTTTTAATAGATAAGATTGATAATATTATTACGAGCAAAACTGAGATTCTCAGGTTTCTGTGGGATATAATCGTTTTCAGATTGTTTGTGTATTTGCTGAACATGATCTGTTTAAACCTACTACTTTTATAAAAAAAATTATATATATAGATTTTCATATAATTTTGACAAAGTTTTATGTCAATTTCTCGAGACGGAAACATCAGAAGTCTTATATGTATCGTTCTCAGGTTTTATCCTATACCCCCTTTAATTTTTCCTTTACAGTTTCTTTAAGAAATTAGTTAATGTTGTTTAAAGCTTTTAAACTTTTTAAGTAAACATATATATACACATATGTTGAGACATAAAAGGAATGTGTTTTGTTTAGAATGAAAACTCCTTTATTTACATAATTTATTATGACCGCACTGTGTACACAATGTATTCAAGTTCGTAATTCAATTAATTTTGTATTGTCCTTTCTACTGTATGTAATATGTAAACTTATTAATAGTTGCGTAAAAACATCAAAAAACGTTCTCAAAGTTTTTTAACTTAAAGTTACTCTTAATTCAAAGATATGCCCAGTTTTTAAAGGTACTCTTAGCCCTTTAAAAAATAATGAAAATTTTGTTTAAAGGGTACCGTTGTGAATTGTGCATTCAAATTTGCAAATTAAAGGTCAAATGAAATAAAGTCAACAGTCCTATCAAAATTTAAAAAATCCCTTTAAAGAAATTGAGTCACAAACTCTGATTTTCTAATCTCTTCATCTATCTATTCCCATGTCGCAGGCATTAGAAAGATCAAATAACCTTAGTTTTAAAAGTAAGACATGTATACCATCAAGTTGCAAAGATAAAGGGATTAGAAAATATGAGTTTTTGGCAAAGCCTCAATTCCTTTATGGATGTAAAATTGAATATTAGAGTTTTCGCTAACTTGCTTAAATCTTTATACTAAAGCTCTTCGCTCATTTATATGTTGCTATAGCAGACCAACCGGCTGAAAATAGACTAAACAAAAAATTTATTCCACGCCGGGCAATGTTTGGTAGTTAAACTGAGAATGTAGTATTGTGGAGAACTTTTTTAGGATTAATTTGAAACATATAATATGTTTTAATAATGCATAATTACTGATTTTGGAATTGAGCGTAAAGTCGACGTTCAAAATCATCCAATTGGATGGTTACGTTTTGAGAATCGATTTTTAGAAAATGATTAGATAACGACGACAAACAAAAATGGAAACAAATTTTACATGTAAATTAATTAAATGTTTAGGAACATATTTCTTCATTGAAATTTTCTCCATAAATCAATGTTAGAATCAATTATTTCTTTTTCATCATTCTACTGAGTTTCTTATTCTTTATTTCTTCAAATTTTTCAAATGTCGTCTTTTCAATAAAGATTCCAGGAAATCTACAGAAAATGTTTGTGAACAATGAGACATCACAGAAACCAATAAAGGAATAAGATTACTTGATAATAGGTAATTTTTATCTTCTAAACCTGTTCTTAAACAACAAATTAGTTTACTGTTTATTTTTTTTTAGATTTTTCGTCGTCTTTATCAAAAAATTTGATTAAAACCGATTCTCAAATTGTTCCTCAAAAATGAACAATCAAAAAGGATTTTAAAGATTGAATTTGCGCTCTTACTGAACAAATATGCACCGTAAAAACGTCTTACAGGTCTCAATGATTCCTAAAAAATGTATCCACAAGACTACATTCTCATTTCAACTACCATACATTTCTGGTCCCAAGACGAACCGCGATTAAACGACGAAAGTAACTTTGAATAACCTGGACAACATCGGACACTTCAGCTAGTACTCAATATTGTGCTTTAAGGGACTGTTCGTTAATTTGCTGTAGGTATAAATTATCGAACATATAGTTCTAAATAAGACCTATTTCAGTTTTCACATATACTAAGGAACCAAATAAAACGAAAACGATACCGGATTTTAGATTCTTGCCAACTTCCTGTGGAGAAAAATGCTTAATATTACTTATCGTTTAAAACAGCGAATAATAATGCATATAAATATCTATATATCTCTATTTCTCTCTCTCTCTCTCTATATATATATATATAGAATATTAATTTTTGACGAAACAGTTGCTTTCTGCTCTGGGAGGGCTTCAGACCTTTCCCCAGATCCCGGCTCCAAAGCTCAGAAGAGCGCTGCGTAGAGTTGCTCATGACTTATCCTACATGGGAGTATCGAAACATAGGAATTAAACAGCAAACAAGAACTCCATCTTCAGTTTATCAACTTATCAACATCTCAGCTGAAAAAGGAACACAGAAGTATAACTCCTGATAGGTATATATTATACAAGCCATGCACAATAATACCGATGTTTTTCTCGGCAGGCTGTGAGGACTGGACTACTGTGGAAAATTCCACCTGATGGGGCTTTAAGACTTTCAACTGCCCAATCTGCATAAGCAGTGCAGTTATGGGTTTCCTTAATTACGCTTAAGTTGGAAAGACTTTAACACAAAGGAAAGCAGGGATCTTCTACTATAATCCCTCATACCCTTCCTTCTCGAAAACTTCCTTATCTCTTTCCTACCTGCTCCACAACTTGATGTCACAAGAATTATTTGGAAAGGCCTAAAAACTTAGAAACAAGAAACAAGAAGAAAAAAGAAAACTTAACAGGAAAAATGGAAAGGAAGTCTTCGATGATAAGCTTTACAACTTCAATTTATTTCGTTAGCAAATGGAGACAACATTGGAGATTCGAATGAGAGACGTCCCCCCCCCATTTCATCCTGATAGTAAGTAAACCAGAAATTTGTGTTTGTTCGATTTCCAAGATCAGTTCTAATTTAGTTGCTGACACATCTAATGGATGTACTGAAGAAAAATAGGAAAGGAGGCATCTTAACCTGGTTCTGTGAAGCTTGCAGCTTGGCAAAATTCTTCTTTTTTTTCAAAATTAGCCAAAATATGATTGAAAGATGTACGAACAAGAAGAAAATGAAGCTCAAGAATTATAGAAATGTCAAAATATTTACATCTGCTATCATTTAACTATTTACAGAATATTGTTAAAAATTCTAAATTTCAAAATAAAAACGTAAAAAAAATATTTTGACGAAAAAAACAATATTTTAAACTCAAATGAAGACTACAGAAAATCAAAAATACTGAAACTTAACAATCCTATTTTTTAAAATTTAAATTGCATGTAAACTTCCCCTAACCTCCACTTCCCTCCTCTCTCCTCAATAACCATTCTTTTGTCAAGTTAGATCAAATGTCAAACTATTAAAGATATAAATCATTGTTTTAGAGAATCTTTTACAATAAGAATTTTGGAAAGAAAATATAAAGAAAAGAAAAAACTGAAACAATCTAGAAACTTCTTCTTAGGCAAATAAATCTCAGATATATAAAAAAGTAAAAGATTATAAATGATAGAGCTGCAGAGCAAACATCATAAAAATTTCCGCAGCTCTGCAGTACGTAATTTCAAGTTAATTCTACGTTAATGCCTCTGAACTCACCCTGCCACAGATTACCTGACAATCTCCTATACCATAATAAACTCCCTACCTATCCCAAAACATAATTTAATGTGTGAAACCAATTATATTCATTACGTTTATTAACTTAGGGCCAACCACTCAAAACAACCTACCCTGGTTAGACTGCATAGTAAATTGCTATTACTTATTTTTAATGTCTCATGCTTTGTAGTTGAATAAAGATATGAATGAAAATGAAAATGAAACGACCTTCCATGCTCAATTCACGATAAACGATACCCTTAGATTAGACTCCAATATTGATAACTTTAAAACTAATTTTTTTCAATTATAGGTTCTCCACAAAAGTGAATTGCGCATTTCCACTGCAAAAAACATATAGGAATTATACATTATTAGAATTACACAATTTTAAACCTAGAAAAACAGCAATATCTTCCAAATAAATATAAGATAAAATTGTTAATGGCACTGTTGTGTATCAGGCATTGCCATCTTAGCATGTAGGGGTCACTTGAAATTCCGCTGACAGTGTCTTTTACCTTTGTTGATCCCTTCCCCTATCCAACGATAGAATTAAAAACTGAACAAACCCTGATCTTCTGATTTTACTTTTACAACCTACTGGTTTATGCCTGTGATGAGCTGTAACTATTTGATTTAGCAGAATTCAAAGTTAGAAATATGAAAGATCTACGAAATTAGGTTGCATGGATATATTAGGATTTAAAAACTAGAGTTCGGGTTCCAGTTCTTTTTCAAATAAAATTGTGCTCACCAGTTGTTCCTATTCTCTCCTTGGTTCCCATTATCAAACTCTAGTCCTGCTTCTGACATCTTGTCTGCAAATAATTAAATAATTAAATAATTTAGTTAAAATAAGAATGTAATTCATGTAGAATATCAAGAATTAAATCATCCCACAAGGACGTTGCACTGCACTTTTAAATCAGAAAAATCTATTCTTGTTTTGGCTGTTGGAAATACAGTGTACGTTCTTGGTTCGGCATATTATCCGAAACTGTCACTTTTGCTGAGAAACCTCCATTAATACTGGTTTTTTCTTAATACATAAAAAAAATTGGCAAAGCTTACCATTTTATTTTAGGGAGCACTGTATATTTATGAGAAGTTTTCAATGCTTATTATTTTGTTTTGGGAAGCACTGTATATTTATGAGAAGTTGTCTTCATTTACCATTTTATCATGCATGATTAAGGTGAAGAAAAAGTTACAATTCTTTTTTAAGCCCAAATAGACCATGAATAAAACTATCCCCCCCAACTAAATTATGGTATATTTTCATATCCCTTTTCCACGTACTACACCTAATAACAACAATGATCAGTGTAGTTGATTAAGCTAAATACACACGTCAGAATCTAGCGTACATTTTCCTTCAAATGTCCTGACGGGCTAATTCATTAATTCATACTTGATCATTATAAAAAACTTATAAAGGTACGGTTGTAAATCAGGCATTGCTATCTTTGCATGGAGGGTTACTTACAGTCTCTTTAATTTAACCGTAATTGAAAATAATATAAACAACAGCATAAATAAAGAATATAAATCATAAAAACTTTATCTAACCCCTAGAATTTTCGTGACAAAAAAGTTTTAAAGAATAAAAACTTTTCGGACCTAACAGGCCTAATTCGGGTCATGCCTTTTGACTGACCCTTCTCATTAAAGGGAATGCTGGCTTAATTTCAAGTATGGTTTCCAATCGGAATTCCGTTGCGCGAAATTGCGCCGAATGACAGAACTCAATTTCGCTCAAGTAAAATCCTTGATTTTAGGCGACCCTCCGTTTCAGAAAGGCCAAGGAAGGAAACCGACAGAATTTATATCATTTTCAAAAATAAGAAAATCAAGCATTTTCATAACTTTAGTATAAAACTGAAGAATCAAAATTATTGAGCATTTTTTATCTTCTGCTATAGAAAATTAAAGAAATGTTAGTTTTGAAGAATTTGATGTAATATTTCTAATTCGGGTTTTCTAAACCTTCCGGCCCTTGTAGGCGTAAATTTCACTGTTAGAGTCACAATAAATTACAATTTTATATTCTAATCCAGCCCTATGTTGTTGGCACCTGATGTCACAAACCTTTGATATTTAACACTGTGAAATTTGTTAGATCAACTATTAAAGAGGTATTCGCCATTCGGTTGCAAAGATTTTTTTATGTAAAGGGAGAAAATTTGAGTTTTAACCCTTTATTTAAGAAAGATGAACAGTCCCTTTAACAATAATAAATAAAAGATAATAACTAATATGAAGTGTAATGCAGAAAGAATGATAAATAAACCAAAATATGAAATAATACTGTACAATAAAACAAGATATGAAATAAAAATAACACTACACAATAAAACAAATTATAAGAAAATAACTTTGGCAAGTTTGGACCTAATAAAAGCATTTGACGCTCAAATCTACAACTTTATATAACTTGAACCACAGATTGTAATTTGCACCAATCTTTCTACCAAAACTTTAAAGAAAAAAAATATTTTTATTTTGAAAATAATATTTGGACTAAATCAGAACAAACACAAACAGAAAAAAATATATGTATAATTCAAATTAAGAAAATATGAATTAATTCCTATATATTTAGTGGCCTTAATAGGTTTTCTATATTCCTAATTTACCAAACATATTCTATTATTATTAAGATTGATGATACATAATTATTAGATTGTTGAATAGGTACTTTCCAAAAGGCATTTTCCCAAGCGGCAACTTCCCAAATGTGCAGTTTCCCAAGCGGTAACTTCTATCCTAGCCGTAGCGCTCGGTCCCTAGGCCGCTTGGGAAGTTGCCACTTGAGAAATTGTCACTTGGGAAGTCGTTCTTGAGAAAATGCTTTGGTAAATTATCTAACACCGTTAAATATAGACCTACAGACTTATTGTCATTTTAGCAGATTTCAACAAAATTGTTAAATTGCAAAAACAACAACAACAGTAAGTTTGTAAAAAATTATACGTTATTTTAAAAAAACGTGTTTATGGTTTTCAGTTAGCGGATGATTTGTGTTTCGGTGGTTGGATATTTGTAAAGAATATTTTCCTAGCAGGAGATATAAATTTTAAGGAGATGATAAAATCAGGGAAAATGTAGAAAAATGGAAAAATGTCTACTTTCAACAGAACCTAGATTTTAAGTACAATTTTAATATTTTGACTTGGAAAATATTAACGAGTTAAAAACTCGCCTCAAACTCAGATTGCAAAGATATAGATAACAATACGACCTCAGGTTACAAAGATAAAGATAATGATAAGAAATTTATAGAGTTTTACGAGTGTAATTAGTTACTTTAAAAGATTTAAATCATGAATGTAATGTAGATTGTAGGTAAAAGATATTTTGACTGAAAACTGACACTTCAGAAATAATTCATGGTTTCACCGTCTACACTCCACAAAAAAGTAGGAGATAAACAAATTTATGCAAAAATTACTGTGCTACGACTGTAAGTGAAAGTTAAATATTTTAAAAGAAAATTTTATTCTTCTTAAAAGAGGAGTTAGAAGCTATTGATTAAAAGCCAAAATCGATGAGAAATTCGCCAATTACTTTTTCAAAACTAATGTTACAAGTAAATGGTTATAAAAAAATGTATGCAACTTTTATCGGAGCAGCCTGGATCAATTTAAGTGTCCCCTTTCGCTCCAATTTCTTGATACACATTACGGTGAACTATATGTGTAATATTGGCCTCTTAATTTTTGTCAACGAAACAAGTTTTGGAAGTTTTTGGAACATGATTTGTTGAAATTTAACTTTTTAATTAAATATGTTGTGTGAGTGTGGGGGGAAGGGAACGTATAACTAACTATTACGGAGTACATCCTATCTGAAATGCAATATTTTCGGTCACATTTTGATCTCTAATTCAAAGTCATTAAAAAAGCAAGAACGGAAAGTTTTCGTTTAAATGGTTTTCAAGTTAAGGTTCACTTAATTTTAACTAGAGTCCGAATTTAATTAATTTAAGCCGCGTCTCAAATCCGCCAAAAACCGGTTTCAATTGAGCGCCACGGCTTAAATCTTGAAACAGGGAGGGGTGGTGGAAGGGTGATTTTTGAAAAATCTTTGTTCGTTTTAATTTCATGCTTAAACAGTCTGATATATACATAAAGAAAAGTTCAAATTTCGGCGAACCTGCTGGACGACTTTGCAAAGTTGTGCTTCTCTTATTTTGATATTACGTCCAAGTACAAGCAAATTTAGTTTTTTTGGTTGCTTATTTAAAATTTTGTATAAATATTATTACTATAAGTAAATAGTGACTAGGACTCAGTCCTATAGGTGGACAGAATCGGCTCAAACAATACATTCCGATCAGCACTGCTATAATTCGGCAGCTCCCGGCTCTTCATGGCTCACAGCTGGCTCCTCAAAATCCAAAACCCAAAATCATAATTCTCTCTATTAGTTTCCAAAAAGGATTATCCTATCATACTTCATATGGAAAATATAATCCGAGAAAAACCAAAAATCGAATACTAGGACGGACCCAAAACACTAAAAAAAATAAAAAAATAAACAAAACAATTTTGCAAAAAAAAAATTTTAAATGAAACGCCTGAAAACTCATTACTTATCCAATGGTATAAAATGCATCATTGATTGAAAATTTGTAAGATTTTGATAGAACCTGAAATTTAATCTGACGTGTACAGTATCGGGATTAAGTCTTACATATTTCACATTAAACAAGACTGAGAAGGAGAAGGTCAAACGTACAAAATTACAACTTTGTGACCTTTTAGCTCCTCAAGTTTAGATGAAATTTAAAAGTAGATTTGTTCTTCTTAATAGCTTTTCAATAAGAGAAGTTATAATTACTCTTCAATAAAATGAGTTATGATTACTCTTCAATAAGAAGAGTTATGATTACTCTTCAATAAGATGAGTTATGATTACTCTTCAATATGACGAGTTTTGATTACTCTTCAATAAGAGGAGTTATGATTACTCTTCAATAAAAGGAGTTTTGATTACTCTTCAATAAGAGGAGTTATGATTACTCTTCAATAAGAGAAGTTATGATTACTCTTCAATAAGAGGAGTTTTGATTGCTCTTCAATAAAATGAGTTTTGGTTACTCTTCAATATGAGGAGTTTTGATTACTCTGCAATAAGATGAGTTATGATTACTCTTCAATATGAGGAGTTTTGATTACTCTTCAATAAGAGAAGTTATGATTACTCTTCAATAAGATGAGTTATGATTACTATTTAATAAGAGGAGTTATGATTACTCTTCAATAAGAGGAGTTATGATTACTCTTCAATAAGAGGAGTTATGATTACTCTTCAATAAGAGGAGTTATGATTACTCTTCAATAAGATGAGTTATAATAACTCTTCAATAAGAGGAGTTATGTTTACTCTTCAATAAGATGAGTTATGATTACTCTTCAATAAGATGAGTTATGATTACTCTTCAATAAGATGAGTTATGATTTTTTTTCAATAAGATGAGTTATGATTACTCTTTAATAACAAGAGTTATGATTACTCTTCAATAAGAGGAGTCTTGATTACTCTTCAATAAGATGAGTTTTGATTACTCTTCAATAAGAGGAGTTTTGTTTTGATTACTCTTCAATAAGAGAAGTTTTGATTACTCTTCAATAAGATGAATTTCGATTACTCTTCAATAAGAGGAGTTTTGATTACTCTTCAATAAGATGAGTTTTGGTTACTCTTCAATAAGAGGAGTTATGATTACTCTTCAATAAGAGAAGTAATGATTACTCTTCAATAAGAGGAGTTTTGATTACTCTTCAAGAAAAGGAGTTATGATTACTTTTCAATAAGATAAGTTTTGATTACTCTACAATAAGATGAGTTTTGATTACTCTTTAATAAGATATGTTTTGATAACTCTTCAATAAGAGGA